CTGGGGGTGCCTGGAGCTGGATTCTTGGGTGAGACCCCTGCTCCTGTCCAGGCCACCAAGGACCTTCTGTTGCCCAGTTTAATCCAATGGACCCTTCTGTCCCACCTCACCTGCTTCTCAGCAACATCCACACTGACCTCCCCTCTGGGCTCCCAGGTCGTCCTGCTGTGACTCACTCCTCCTGGTTTCCTTGTGACCCCATGGCCCCTCCTACATAGTCCCCTGTGCCGGGCCCTCGTCCTCTGTCTGACCTTGTGCAGCCCCAGGCCTCAGGAGGAGGCAGGAATGAGTGACTCACCCACAGGCCCCCAGGATCCCCTTCACTCATTCCCCCAGCAGATGTGACAGGGCTCACTGTTTATTGGCTTCATTTATGGACCATCGTGCAGCCTGAGGCACACTGTCTCCACACATCTCGAGCTCACCTGTGGGTGAGGGACACAATATGCAAACAAGCAGACAGTGTCCAAGAGAGCAAAGTGCTGTGAAGAAACATAAAGCAAGAGGAGAAGACAGAGTACATGATGGGGGACAGGAAAAGAGCAGGTGTAAAGGTCCTGAGGCAGGACATGCTTCTTGGGAGGATTGGCCATGAGGCTGGAGCCAAGTGAGCAAGAGAGAGCACGTTAGGATAAGAGTCAGAACGATAGAAGCATCCAGAGGCCTCAAGGCTTGGGAAGTCCCGTCAGATTCCATCAGGAGAGGGACCTGAGCGATTTAAAGTGTCAATCATCTCTCTGGCAACATGAGGATAATTGACAGGAGGGTTTCTACTGTGGAATCAAGGAGTCTCTGTGTTGTCTCACTGTCTCCAGCAGAACAGGCAGGATGAAGGCCCCCAGGGAGTGACATACGTCCAGGTGAACTGCTCCAGACCAAGACCCAGGCAGCGAATGGCCACCTCTCTTTCACCTCTGTTGGGGGGATTGCTGGACACAAAGGGCAGACAAGCAGAAGAGGACAGACAGATGGACAGTCAGGTGGGTCCTGTCCTCTCCAGACCTCCAGGTTTTCCCCAACCCCAACCACGTTTCATCCCCCTTTCTCCCCCTGCTCCAGGCTGCTGTACGTGATACCCCCCAGTATGTGACCTACGCCCAGTTGAACCTCCTGACCCTCAATCAGAAGACAACTGCACCCCATTTCTCCCCATCTGATGAGCCCCCAGATGAGCACATTGTGTATGCTTCTCTGTCTGTCCACTAGCCTAGGAAGGACGCAGACCTCACATTTCAGGAAGGGGACCTGCATATACCTGGAAAGGCCAGAATGCTGCCCCATGGACACTCGGCTAGTGCCCCAGGCTGGAGGCCTGATGTGGAACACCCAAAGCTCCTGGGGCCTCTAGGAGTCTCCAGGTTTATAGTCAAAGATAACCTGTATCTCTACCTTTTGAAAATGAAGCAACAGACTTCTCAATAATAAATATGTGAACCAAAACCAGAAGTGAATATTTTAAATTATATTATAATGTAAACTAATGGCCTGGTGCATGAATTCTTGCATGGGTGGGGTCCCTCAGCCTGGGCAGCAATCAAGGCCATGAAGGGCAGGCAGCCTCCTGAGGGGGACGGACCATGAGAGGTTGGCCCCAGCAGCAAGCTAACCAATGGCCAATTCCACCAGGAATCGGGCTCCCTCCTCCCTCCTCTCTGGGTCCGGGGTGTGGGTGAATCAGATTCAGGGCCATCAGGGCCCCAGCAGCAAGGTCTGGGTCAGTGCGCATCTTAGCTACTGGCTGGTCATCCAGTCGTTTTGGTTGTTTGGTCGTAACAGTCACTTAGGCTTTTATGTAGATACATAGCGGACCTATGAAATAAGAAAACTGAAAACTATGAATAAATATTTTGGAAAAAGGAAAAGCCTTAAATATTCAATTTCCTAAGCTATTATATCAAGAATTAAAGGCCTGCATTGGGGGCTAGGTGGAGGGAAATAAAGGAAATCAGTAATACTGTCAAGAATAAAAATAAACTAAAAAAAAACTTAGGAAAAAAGATTGCATTAAATCCTAGACGACTGGATATGCAAGGTCCTCCCTGGGACTGGGCCTATAGGGTCATGTCATGTCAAGGAGAGGTGGGTGCCTTGGGTGGGCAACCAGGGTCCTCAGGTGAATTTGGTCTGCCCTGCCCTCTGTGACCTGTTTACCTACAATTCTTGGTTTCCCACCCCTATGACTACACCGTGGGAAATACCATCCGGATGGGTGTGGTTGGCTTGGTCCTGGTGGTGCTCAGGGTGCTGCTATTTCTGGCTCAAAACAGCCAGAGAAGGACCCACAATGCCACCAGCGTGTGAACAGAGAGGGAACAATGCATGGTTCAGAGAGGGGTCGCCTTGGAACCCATCTGGATGTCTCAGGATGTGGTGGAAGAGACTCTGAGGAAGACACAAAGTATTGTGGGGTCCCGAGTGGGTGTGAGGGACCCCAAGTTTGTCGAACTACGTGCTGATTTTTCTAGTAGAAACAACATGGTTTGAGTGCACAAAAATGTCTGTGGGCTCCCTGTACAAGCTTCTTCCTCCATTAAATGTGTATTTTCTTTCTGTGCCTTGGTTGACTTTCTGTGATGACCCCCACTCTTCTTTCCTCACCCCTGTGACTTGAGGGTCCATCCCACATGGCAGGTGTGGGTCACACATCTAACACCGCATGCTCTCCTTCACTGTAATTCCTGCTTAGAAAATTACATTTATTGTGGTGAACCTTGTCTAATAAATTGCACAGGATTTGAATGTACAATTCCATAGTACAACATCTATATATTTTTATGGGATACTATGTTATTTACTTTTTATCACTACATGACCGGATGGGCGTTGTTGAGTCTTCTCTTCAGTTCACAGGACTTCACCAGAATTCAGTAACTAAATAACTCAGGCAGTGTGGCTCAGTGGTTGAGTGTCGTCCTATGAACCAGGAGGTGACGGTTCAATTCTGGTCAGGGCACATGCCTGGCTTGTGGGCTTGATCCCCAGTAGAAGGTGTGCACGAGGAAGCTGATCAATATTTTTCTCTCATCATTGATTTTCTATCTCTGTCTCCCTCTTCCTTCCTCTCTGAAATCAATAAAAATATATTTAAAGAAATTAACTAAGTGGACAGAATTAGATACAAACCTAGGAAAGAGAAATTTAAAATGATGTCTCACACCCACTCTGGACCCCACAATACTTCCTGTCTTCCTCAGATGACACAGTATATTGGGGTTTAATCATTGTTTACATTTTTTGTCAGATATTGCATTTAAAAAATATATTTTATTGATTTTTTTACAGAGAGGGAGGGAGAGTGATAGAGAGCTAGAAACATCGATGGGAGAGAAACATCGATCAGCTGCCTCCTGCATACCTCCCACTGGGGATGTGCCTGCAACCAAGGTACATGCCCTTGACCAGAATCGAACCTGGGACTTTAATCGAACCTGGGACCTTTCAGTCTGCAG